CTGAAACGCTGCCCAGTCGCCCCCTGTGGACGAGAATTCGCGGAAGATGGGCAGGCGTTGCTGTAGAGCAGCTGTGTCGTCGTCTTCGTCAAGGTCGGACTCGGTTCCAAATGCGGCGATCGCTTGGTCGATGACATGTACTGTACAGCGTCGCACCTGTGATGACGCGGTGTTGCTGGAGGGTCCTGCAGAGGCAGCATCGCGCTCTGATGACGCGGTGTGTCGTGATTGGCCCCCGGAGGTCCCAGCATGCACTTGGCTTCCGCCTCCGGCGGAACCACGTGACCCATCGGCGGGAAGGACGACCTCTTCCGGGTTTGCGATGGCGGAGACGTTCGCTGTCGGTCGCTCCTCTCCGCCCGCAGCCCCCAGGGTAAGTTGCTCCAGGATGGCTGCTGCAGCATGCAGCAGCTGGGCGAGACGGGCGTGAGCAGCCTGGATGCCGTCGTTCGCGGCGGTCGGCTGCACTGCTGGTGATGGGACGGCTGGAGACACGCCAGCGTCTTTAGCGCCGCCCTCAGCACCCACGGGTGAGTCGGAGCTTGCATCATCGGGACTTCGCGTGCGGTTCGTTCGTCTTGTTTCCATCTTCTGATACCAAATGTAGTGTTGTACAGACGGACTCTTCAACGTCTTTTGTAGCACACACTTTTATTCGTCTTATGAACACAGTCCCTATGCACTAAGGGGTATACGGTCCCCTCATCCGTTACACTCAGAACGTACAAGTCTCCACACCCTACAGGCTACTTAATATCCCGCTCTTTCAATGTCCTCTGACTGGACCTAGGGGATGTCTCCCCGACCACTGGTTACACTGAACTCTAGCCCTTATAAGGGCTGGAGGCCTTGGTCCAGGGTTCTAGGCTTCTTCCGCCGTCTTGGGTCTTCGTGTAGTCGAACTCTCCCAGAGCTCTGAGCGCTCTGGCTTTATACTTGTTCGTGGCCGGGTTGTCCAATCCCCGGCCACCTTGTGGAACCCTGTGATTGGTCGTTCCCAATCTGCTTTTGGATTCCAATTCACCCTATCTGACCCTGACCGTTTGGTCGCGCGGGAAAACCTTGTTTACGGTCAGCTCTCACAGCTTGTGAGACCCTGACCGTTAGTTTGAGCGGGAAAACCTTGTCAACGATTAGCTCTCCCAGTTTGTGAACATCGAGTAGTTAACTCTACTACACATACACAAATACGAAAATACATTCCGTTTGTCTGTATATTTGTCCGTCAACAAAACTAGAAGAGCCTTTCAGAATGCTGAAATCAAAAAGTTATAGAAAGTGGGGGTGAAAAGTTGATCCAACAGGTTTCCAAAAATTGGCGACTCCCCCCCCCCTCCAAAAATGTTTTTACCCCCCCCCCACCCAATTTTATTTTTTATTTTGTAGGCATATATACATAAACTAGCATAAGTACCCGGCGTTGCCCGGGTGAAAAATATATTTCTTAATAACCTTACATATATACACAGATGGGCTGCTACCCCTGCCCCCCCCCCCCCCCCCCAGCCACGATCTCCTCGGCCGCTGTGCAGTAATATGTACGGCCTATAGTGTGGTGGGGTGTCGAGGCCTAGTACCGTGCAGAGCCTCCGGCCTCGCCTAAATTGCCCACCCGGCTGAGGCTGGGTACGGGTGCCGTTCCCCCCCCCCCCTGCGCTACAATAATACTGTCTAATCGCTATAATTGTATTATCTACCGACCCTATAATAGTAATTGCACACATTGGGGTGGGGGGGGGGAGTGAAGAGGACGTGAAACTTTGATGAATTTACCTCAGAGTCGCGTGTTAATGCGTGCGCATATTTTTAACGGGAATTAAAAATGGCGTCCATCCCGCAGCGAATGCGTCGCTACCCGTTGCCAGGGGCAACCGCCGTCCAATGAAACTGCGTATGGTCCGGCGACACACAGACAGACAGACAGATTTGCGATTTTATATATATAGATACTCTACATACAATAGTATCAGTAGTATCTACTGCCTCTGGAGTAGTATATACTTTCTCTACAGTAGTATCTACTGACTCTACAGTAGTAACTACTGAGTTTACAGTAGTATCTACTGACTATAGTAATAACTGCACACATGGGGTGGGGGGAGGAGAAGAGGACAACAGTGGGGGTGATGGCGAGGTGCGAAGCGTCGAGAAGCCCTCCGCGGGAGCTAAAACAGTGTTTTCTTAGCCCGTGCTGCAGTAGTAATTGTGCAGTTTCTGCCTGGTCTTCATACACGCTGTTCAGGATTTTCCTCAGCGTGTGCTCATTTAGCAGTAACTGTGCAGTCTCTGGTTTGTCTTGATGCAGGCTACTTTGGAGTTTCCTTCAGCCGGAGCTGCTGAGGTGCTTTCATTGTTTGTTTGCTGTTGAGACAGCTGCTGCTCCTCCACTGTTTGCTTTGTGGCCACAGTGCTGCCAATCTCTTTGTTTTTGTTTTGGAGAGGCTTGTTTTTTTTCTTTTTGGCATATTTTCTTGTAAACAAAATGACCAAGTCTTTAACATGAGATAACCTCCTATCGTCGCTAAGCAACCGTGTTTGCATTGCTAGGGGCAACCGCGAGTCGGCGCACTGATCAGCGTATATTTTACAAAGTTTTCTTTTCTTAATTTAGATTGGACCAAAGGCAAAAACAAATAGCAGGTGTTCATTCAGGGGTGTAGTTTGTTGTATTTGTGTACTTTGTTGAAATGTAAACCCAGTAGTTTGTCAGTTAAAAGCGTTACAAGGAAGGCAGACACAGACAGAGAGACAACGAAGCAATTACTGGCTGTCCGTTCTTGTCCTCTGTGAAAAAGATGTTTATCGCTCATGGATTCCTCCAGTATAAATTCATAGTCTGATTCTGAAGCACAAGTCTGGGTTATAGTATTTTTTTTTCATCGGGCTGAGTGAAAATTTGCCCAGCTGTTCGGCTCGTATATGAGGAACATGTCACGAGTTGAGACCAATCCTTATATTCTGAGTAGCCCCCGTTGAGTGTGGTGGCTATTAAGTCACCCCACGTCTGTAGCTGACTTGAGTGGCTGCTTGCAGATGTGGTGATGACCATTCATATTCAGGTCACTTGTATACAGTGGATGACCATCACGTAACGGACTGCGACAGTTATTGTCGATGTGCCATTGCTTGTGCTGGTGGACTTGAGACTGGAGTCCCCTTGGCCTTGCCTGATGAAGATTGCGAGGAGGTCATGTTTAGGATGATTAATGTCAGCAACGTGATCTTGAGACGTCGTTCCGATCTGTTTACAGTAATTGATTAAAAGGGGGCTTTTTTTCTTATCAGCGTTTAGCTCTTCTGATCGTTCGTTCATTTCTCAGTCCACTTGTCCTGGTGAGGGTCGCGTCGGCAGCATGTTGAGTAGGGCGGTCCAGACCTCCCTTTCCCTAGCGACAAACTCTACCTCTTCCTGCGGAATTCCCAGGCGTTCTCAGGTCAGCTGAGCGCCATATTAACGCCAGAGTGTCCTGGGCCGGCCCAGGGGGTCTTCGCCCAGTGGGACATGCCTGGTAGAGTTCCAAGGGGAGTCTGGCTCCTCTCGATCCAGAGGAGCAGCGAGTCGACTCTGAGGCTCTCCCGGATTACCGAGCTCCTCACCCGATCACGGAGAGTGAGCCTGGCAACCCTGCGGAGAAACCTCATTTCGGCCCCTTGTACCCGTGATCTTATCCTTTCTTCGGTCATTACCTAACATTCGTATAAATTTAAGGGATTTGTTTACCTTTCCTATACTTTGCACTCATATTTTTGTATTGTTTTTTTTTGTTGTAATCAGGGAGTTTTTTTTATGTATTTGCATTATTCTAGGCTATATCTCTAGTTTGCATTAATTCAGAGATGTTCTGGTCAAACCATGGTGAATGATCACCCTTTAATCTGAATTTGTTTAATGGGGCATGTTTGTCATTTATTTTTAAATCTTTTATATTAAGTTCGCGTGCTTGCTTGCTTGCTTGCGTGCTTGCTTGCTTAGGACCGTGCAAATCTTTCGGTCGTTTTTTAACCCACTTCCCGTGATCCAATCGAGCTGACATTTTCCACACAGACTCGTTGTGCCAGACAATTATTGTTCGTGAAAAAAAAATTCCCAAAATTTTACACTTTTTAGGCAAATTTTTTTTACATATATTCAAATTGAACGCATTCATGGCTTTGGCTGAACGTCAGAGTGTAAGAGCCCAGAGCGTAACCCCTCCACAGGCCGTTGTGGAGTAGCGCAGTTGGTAGCGCCCTCGCTTCCCATGCCAAAGGTCGCGGGATCGATCCCCGCGTCCTTCACAGGCGAATATATTTTTTAATCCTTTATATTAAGTTCGCTTGCTTGCTTAGGACCGTGCAAATCTTTCGCTCGTTTTTTAACCCACTTCCCGTGATCCAATCGAGCTGACATTTTCCACACAGACTCGTTGTGTGTGACAATTAATTTTCATGGAAAAAAAAATCAAAAATTTTACACTGTTTAGGGAAAACAAATTAAATATTTAATTACCAATTGCTTAATGGTGGCAGACAATCATCTGACCCATAGGTGGCAGCCATCTCAAGCCAGAGGACGAGAGGACTCTAGCCGCCATGCATATAAAGGATTTATAGTGAAAAACTTTGTTTTTACGGGTTATTTTTTTAGGAATTGGCTCTCCAAGCCCTTTCAGAAACTGGAATTTTGCTCACCGTATCCCAGTTGTTGTATTGGTGTTCAGAGTATTTGGGCTGCAATAACTTTCCACAGGACTATAAGCCACTTGGTTGAGCTATCAGTTGTAATAGCCAGGTCGCTTCTGTGAAAAAAAGATACACAGCTCAGTGGGCATTACCTGGTAAAATTAAGAATAGTTTTAATTTAGTTTTGTGTTTAAGGTGACACGAAAATACGTGTGACCACGATCGGAAGGATGCTACCATTCCCAAAACCTCCAGTGAGCATCTGCCGTCCGCATAAGCATGCACTCTGCCGACCCCACACCACACACAGCCCTATCTCCCTTTTCTTGCGGCCACAGGGATGAGCACCCACGAGTCCCTGGAGGCAGTGCAGCGCGGTTACCGGATGCCGCGCGTGGCCGGCTGCCCGCAGGCCGTGTACGCCGCCATGCTCGCCTGTTGGCAGGTGGCCTCCGACGCGCGGCCCACCTTCGCTGACCTCGAGTCGCATTTCTCCTCGCTGTCCGGGGCTGCGGCAAACGACCCCAACGAAGCTCAATGCTCGACAGGCTGGGGGGATGGGCGAGCCGCGACGCTGGGGTCCCGGCGATTGCAGCCGCCCTCAGCCACGACGACGAGGAGCGGGACGAGGAATAGCGAAACCCTGACTCACGACCTCACGCTGCCCAGGAAGAGCTCATGTCGCGATGGCAAAGATGGGTCTGACGACAAGGTGGATTCGGTGAAGTTAATTCTCCGATGTGACAGAACGAGCGACCTTTTGGGACCGAGGACTTGATGGGAGCTGTTCCACATACACGTGAAGGGAGGGTTCCTGCAACTGTTCAGTTTATCTCCAAAACTTGGTAAATTGTCGAGCGGCATTTGTGATGACCTGAAGTCAGTCCAGTGACTTATTTTGTTCATGGTTGGTTCAGCGACTTTGCACTTCAAGGGATTGGCAACAGCAACATCTGGATTATATCTCCAGGCCAGATCCAGCTTAAATGACTGCGCAGGTATCACGTCATTTGTTTTCCACTTGAAAGGAATTTTACCTTTGGAGATTCATAATAATAATCGGATCGATTTCCCCCGGCAATGAACGTTTCTCTGCAGCAAAGCACTTGTGTGGGCAATGGCGGAGCCAGGATTTTTAGGTAGGGGGGGGCAACCCCTCCGGAAAAGAAAAATTATAGGAGTTGATAGTAAGTAAGGACTTGTCCCTTGCTTTTTATTTGATGCGTGTGCGGCGATGGCACAGCCATCGATCGAGGGTCGAATTCGAACTGAGTGTGATGGGCATCGCGCTCGCTGAAGGTATACCTTCAGGGAAGTTGTGTACTGTTTACGCAACTGCGCACAATTCTCTATTTGAAGTTTTCGTGACTGCAAGGATCCATACTCTTTGGTTTTTTCGGTAAAGTCACGTAGGTGAAAATAAAAAATAAAATAAAAATGAAAACAACTATATTAAATCACGACGTTTCGGAGGCAACACAAGCTTCCGTCTTCAGGTGGAACTGCTACAGCAAAATTACTGTAGTAAGTGAAGAGAGCTATTAGAGACACGCGATTATATAGGGTAAGAGGTGGGGAGGAGCCAGGGAGGACCGCAGGGTAGGGGGGTGCCGTGTGGAGTCGGGGGGGGATAAGCTGAGTTAAGCTGATTAGTAATATCATTTTTATGATGCAGGGGGTGGCCAGTGTGTGAACACGGGGGCGGAAGTTAAGCTGATTAATAGGAAAGCTAAGTTAAGCCGATTAATAACATCATTTTATTATGCAGGGGAGGGTGAGTATTGGGGTACGGGGATTAGAGAGACTTCGGGGGCACCGTGTGGAGTCGGGGGGGGGCACAATTCTGTAAGTCACTTATAACTGCTTTGCCGTTGCTTATTGCCTATTGCCAATTAAGGACTTAGACTATTGTGCAATCATCTCATGAAGTCCTTGGCACGTAATAATATGCTACACAGTGGCAGTGGGGGTCGCAAAATGCCGATTTATTACGAATAAAGCCCAATGATCATTGGGGGGGCACGTGCCACTCCACACCCCCCCCTACTGGCTCCGCCAGTGCTTGTGGGAAAGGGCAATGGTGCAAACTATGCCCCAAGCTCTGCCATCCCTTGAGTGTCAATGTGTTATCCACCAGTTAATGAGTGTTTACATGTCGGAGGAAAGTGGAGCTGTTGATGCTACTGCCCCCTGATTTCTCTCTGTGAGACATAACTATCGGCTGGTCCCTTAACCACCTTGTTCATTCAAACACCCTCCTCGTGGCTTCCCTCAAACATTGGTAATAACTACCCGCACGCTACTGTTCAACTCCGTGCTCGCCCTAGAAATCGCATGGCAGCTGGGAGTCGGAGGTCGGAGGGCCGTGGCGTTGCTCGCACACGCGCGGCCGCCGTGAGCGGGTGATAACGCTCGTCTAAAGGCGCCGTGGAATAGGTGTTTGCGGTGGGTGTGAGCCCTCACGCAGCACGCGTCTCAACACCGACCACCCACGTTACGAACGCACACCCGTGGAGCACTGACTACACACGCTGTGAGCGTATGTACACACAGCACCGCGCGCGTTCACACTCTCGTCGAAACCACACGAGGCTACGATTAGTTATTACTGCGTTGCCTCTCCTTCAATCAAACGCGACACCTCCCCTCACACAGCCCCGCGCAGCACTCACACGCTGTGAGCGTACGTACACACAGCACCGCGCGCGTTCACACTCTCGTCGAAACCACACGAGGTTGCGATTAGTTATTAATGATTTATTACCGGCCGACTATGATTCACTGTTAAGTCAGTAAGGTTCGACAAGGCAGGCCTACACTATCGCCCAAGGGTCTGTACCCGATATATCTAATTTGATAGGCTCTAAGCGGTTTTGGTTTTTCTAGCCTTAATCCCAATACTCCTTTTCCCTCTACTCACGGTTAGATGCGTACAGCGCTCTGGGGGTCTCGTCCTCGCGGCACACTTCGACGCGTCGCACGGACGTTCGAGTGGCCGAACTGGGAACCGTCCCGGGCGCTGACTTCTGGAGCAAGAGAGCGTTTTACCTCTCTGCGCCCTCTTTTATCCTCAACCTATACATCAAAGAACGCCGACCCAAGCGCCTTCTCGGCCAATCAGGTCGCCACGCCCATTCAGCCGCATTCCCGGTTTCTCTAACAATGGGTCCCCCGCCGATTGCGGCGCCGGCGGTGATCCACGGGCGCCTTTGTTATGCCAATCAGCCGCGGTTTCCGTAACAAAGGCTCGCCGCGGCTGCTGCACGGCGGCGGTCCCCGCACACACCTGCCACGCTAATCAGCCGTCGCCCCCCTCCTTGGCTTCCCCTTCATTCGTGGCTGTGGACCCCTGCCGGCCTTGTCGATACGTGTGTGTAGGGGGTGCGTTTCAATCGTGGTGGCTGGACAGCCCCCGCCGTGACCATGCAATCTCAACCCGGGTCACAGCGCCGCGGTGCGAACCAGCATCGGGGGAGGTCGCCCAATTCCCTGGCCGCAGGAAACCGTGAAGATTATCCCTATGAGGGCTTTCGGGTAAAAACCTGCCGGCCAGGAGACCTCCCCTCGGAGCTCTATGTGGGAAAATGTGTGAGGGTGTGTTTATGTGGGGGGCGGTGAGGGGGAAGCGGGGTCGGCCCCGTCGCTTGGTGGTGGCGAGGTCGTAGATGGGGCGCCTGCAAAGCGGCTTCGCGGGGGCGGCATCACAGAGCACCCAGGGAGACCCCCAAGCGCGTGCGAGGGGGCAACCCAATACAGAAGTCCACAGCTTTGCTGAACTGCTGAGGTAGGGTATGGCTCTTCCTCGATGCCCACGCGAGGGGAGTTTCGCAACAGCATTTATCCGGTGATCCACCAACCCTCGCTGCCTCCCACAGTGCTGGATAACGGACCACATGCAGCATAGCCGCCACCACCACCTGCATCACCCGGCTTTTTGTCTGACACAAGGTGATGCGCCGCTTACTGGGAGCCTCGTGGCGGTTGGGAACATTGTGTCTTATGACACAGTAGCACACTCTTAATGAAATTGAGAAAAAAAAAACAAGGATATTTTATTTTTACAGTTAGAGATCACTGTGAATAATGATTGCCTAAAGATGTCGCTGGTAAGTTGTTGTTTTAAATATCTTAAATTATAGGTTTCTTCATAGAATAACAATAAAGCATTGACCGTGTCTAGTAGTCCAAGTGTATATTTTTGTTACGTGTGAACTTATTTCGCAACGTTTGTAGCATTCATGGCCATCGGAGGTGCGGGGGAAGGACAACAAACTAGACGCAACAAAACAAAACCCTAGACCCCTCCCAAGGGACCCCACACCCTTCCGGGGGTAAACCCGTAACGGCTCGTCACCCAACGCGGTACACGAGGGGCCTGTCCGCCAGGGGGAGCTGTGACTTTAGTCATCGCACTCACCCCGAGACCGATGACTTTGTGGGAGAAGAGACGTCCTTGCTGCCTGTAGTCATCTGGAAATTCACTAGCACGATCAAGTGAGTGGCTCTGCTGATGAGACACTAAATGTCGAAACCGGTCCCAATTTTTGCTTGCAGATAATAAAGGTATTTTTGTGTTGGATCACGTAAATATAAATGTCGTTAAACCCAAAATCGCCCGACAGCCAATTAGAAAGGGTTGTCACGTTAACAAAACGTGCCAATTAGTTTCTACTTCAGCACACCGGTGTGTTGGAGAGTAAACGCACAACATTCACAATTCGATTACGATTTTCGCTGGTGATTACAACCAGCTTCATCGGGCGATAGCTAAAGTTGTTATGCAGTCGTCCTGTTTTGGTCTTATGGGTAATATTGGCTGCGAAAGCTTGCTGTTTTGCTTGTGCTGGACCAATGCTGTGGAAATTACGCACGACCAGAAGATTACGTGGCTGATGGCATGTGTAAAAATATAACGTTCTACATTGTGGAGGGACTGATCTGTGAAGGAAGTTAATTATTAATTTGTGGCTTACATAATCCACGACGCTGGGCGGTGGCTTCGCTGGACGTAACTGCTGCCTGGTAACCCGTCGCTGTGGAGGCAGCAGTAGCAAGGGTTGGTGGATCACCACCACATGCGAGGAGTATTCACACTAGGCTCGTTGTGAGAAGTCGGTAGACAAAAATGTGGTCTGCGATTAAGTGTTTTTACGTCGCACAAGTGGCTTTCTCTGGATGCTCCGGTTCCTCCCATCGCAGCAGCGGCGGCGTTTGGCTCCGCCATCGAACAAAGATGGTCACTGCGTCTCGCGCTTTCAGATGCAATTCTGCGGTCGTCTGGAACGCTCTTCCTTTAGATATTATGAAGGCACTGGAGCTATGCACTTTTAAATCTAGATTGAAAACTAATTTCCTTAAAACTGATTTGTGTGTTGAGTTTGTTGTCCTTAGCACTGTTGGCTATGTACGGTGCAAAAGAATTTCAACATGCATACTCATGAATTGACCTTAATATATTAAGCATCGCAGAGCATGGCTGTGCCGGCTTCTCCGCGTGACTGCTGCTGCTTCTGCTGTCTTCCCCACTCCTCGTATGAGGTTCCTCCTCTTGGCACCTCTGAGTCGTCGTCCCCCCCTCTCTCTCTACGATAATGAGGAGCGAACACCCAGAGGCGCCGCTCAGAGATGGAGGTGACATCTGCAAGAGAAAGCTCCCCCTGCTTTCTCCACGTGGAGCCACGCGGAGCTCGAGGCTCCCAGCAGATGTCGTTCACGACGTCCAGGTGGCATGAATTAGCCCGCAGAACTGAGGTCAGGTTCACGTGGGTCTTCCGCAAGCGGCCGAAACGCTGTTGATGATGATAATTTATCTTTGATGATCGTCAAGGAGACATCATCATCAACTTAATCTCGGATTAATCGGACGCCATGAAAATATTCAGACTCACACCCTCACACAGACTCACACACAGACTCACACACACAGACTCACACACACACACAGACTCACACACACAGACTCACGCACACACAGACTCTCACACACACAGAGACTCACGCACACACACAGACTCACGCACACACACAGAATCACGCACACACACAGACTCACGCACACACACAGACTCACGCACACACACACAGACTCACGCACACACACAGACTCACGCGCACACACATACTCACACACACACACACAGACTCACGCACACACACAGACTCACACAGACTCACGCACACACAGACTCACGCACATACACAGACTCACGCACACACACACAGATTCACGGACACACACAAACACACACACAGACTCACGCATACACAGACTCACACACACAGACTCACGCACGCACGCGTATGTAGTCGTGCGCCTCCGACTCGCGCTGAAATGACTCCGCACTTCTGTCTCGGCGCCACCTGACACCGGGACAGCCCCCCCGCTTCTCCCCCCTCCCCACCCGGGCCCTCCTCTACAGACACAATAGCGACACTGCTCGCTCTGTACCCCCCCACCACTACCCCTACCCCTACCCCCACTTCCGACAATAGCGACACAGGTCGCCCTGTGCCCCCATCCTGCCCCCCCCCCACTTCCTATAATAATAGCGAAATAGGTAGCT